CCCCGCCTCTCTGCCTCAAAACGAATAAGAGACCCAATCCCATTTGACTCTGGGGGATACACTCAGTATATGTAGAGATGTGGCAATATCATTGAACAATTGAGGTCGTGAGTGTGTGGTAGGGTAGTGAGGGAGGGAGGGCGACTGAGGGAAGGGAGTGCAGTGGTATAGATTCTATAGACAATCTGGAGCCACAACCACTTGCCTGGGAGGTTAATTCGTCCACGTCTTCTTCGTCTTCTAACCCAGGAATCTCTTTCACATCTGCTCGTTCGGCCGAACACAAACACAGGAATACAAACGAATAGTGCGGCACAGGAACACAAACGAATAGTGCAGTGCGTAAGCATGCAGCACTGCAGTACAGCATGGAGGGGCACTTGGATGAGTGGGGACACAACAAGGACTCGCTGGCCTGAGAATTCGCGGGCTAGAAGTTCAGCTGACATCTGGAACGATAACTGTCTGGACAAACAAGGTGCAAGATCTAGGCGGGAGGAATTTCCTGCCCGCCGAACGGAGCGAACCGGGCTCAGTAGTAAACTGAAACTTGAAAAGTTTGTTTCGTACAGTCTGTGTGTCGGACTTAAAACCACCAACCATTACCTCCAAGGCTACTTTTGCCAAGGTAGAAAAATGAATTGCGTGCCAAGCTTTGCCCAGCCACCAGCTTAACGTTTTTTTTTTGTTTTGTTTTTTTGCTGGTGCCGCCGGCCATTTTCGTCTGGCAGCACTTTTTATCGGGACATCATGGAATGATTCATTTTGGTGTCTCGAGTTTGCCTGTGAAAGGTAGTGGTGGTTTAAGTCTGGTCTGCATGAATTAGCGGATATACTGAGCCGGAATGCAGCTTCTAGGTGAGTGTATGAAGATTTGCTTATTTATTTTTGCCATTCAGAGAATACATATGCAGTGGTGAGCACAGTGCACACTCAGTCCGAGTTTTCGAGTTTGGCCACTGGGCTCTTTTTTAATTAAACAAATCAAATCAAATTGTAATTCCTCTCTCTCTCTCTCTCTCTCTCTCTCTCTCTCTCTCTCTCTCTCTCTCCACACACACAATCACAGTCCCAGTCCCCTCACTGCCCTCAGGCCCAATGTATGCAATTAGTCCTGAGTCCAGCTATCCTGTGTGGTCTCACTACCTCCCTTCACCACAACACACGTTAGAGCAATCATTGCCTGCCACTAAGTTTGAAGAATGGTGTATGAAGGCACTTGAGCAAACAACAAGAACAAAAAAAAGAAAGAAAGAAAGAAAAAAGAGAGAGGATGTTGAGTCAGAATGCACTGGCTTAAAGTTGCTGTCTGTTTAGCGTATCTTTCCGGCTGACAGTCATGAGCAAGGACATAGGATATAGATATTATAGAACCTGATCATCTGATTTGCTGTCCTAACCTGAGGGATATTGTTTGACAAGGCATAAAGAAATTGAGTCGTTGCAGGACAAAAGTCATTTCTAAGATTTCTTAGAATTTTCCTGTAGTATTACACACACTGAGTTCAGACTTCCGTTTTGCCAAAAACAAAATGACTGGTTAGGTCACAACAATGGTACTGGTGCAGGGACGAAAAGTACAATTGGCAAATAGGGAAAGTCCTAACGGAGCAAGGGCTGTTTTTTTGCAGAAGAAATTATACGGAGAAAAAATACAAAAAAAAAAAACTTCAGAAAAAAGTTAGAAAAGCCTGAAAAAGGTGCATGTTTGGTAATTGCATGGGTCCTGGGGACCATCTCACGCAAGTGTGTACATGCCATGCATCGTACTCCCACACACAATGAACATAGTCTGACAATAGACAAAGATAGAGAAGATGAGGACCGAGTTTCACAGTTTATATTATCAGAAATATGAATACAAAGTGTTTCAAAGTTCCCCTGAGTCCAGCGCTCATCAGCGCAACACCAATATC